ATAAAATCCATCGAAACAGAAAAATTAAAAAAATTGGAAGTCAATAATTTATTTATAAACACTGTCTGTCCCAACATATTACAACATCATTTAATTTGTATAATCAATTTCACTTAATGAAATTCTTTTTTTTTTTTAATTATTGTCGTATGAATCTTGCACAAAACAATCCGTATATACTTTGTATGCTAATTATCCCATTACCGATAAAAGCTTTTAGAATAAATAATGGGTAGGTTTCTTAGAATATATATATATATATATATATATATATATATATAGAGAGAGAGAGAGAGAGAGTACTTAGTGGTGAAAGCAATTTATCAAAATTCTCAAGATGCGACAGGATTAGGACTTGGTTAATTTATATCACAAAAATTAGGTTGGATTCTCGTGGAACAAAATGATTAAGTTATACATAAGATGAATATATAGGATGATTTGTTTAACTATGATAATTTTTGGGGTCAACACTATGATTGAGCTACTAAGAAAGATCGTTTTCAATTTTTGGTGACGGTCTCTCTTTTATTCCAAGTCAAGTTTTTGTTCCTTGGAAAACATTAGGGTGGACTTAACCTCTAAAAGATATAATTCCAAATAAAAACAACGTTGAAACTGATACTGAGGAGGATATTTTGAATAAACTATTAGAAGTGACTAGTGAGGGCTCAGTTATCGTGGCTGGAAAGAGACTTGTGGCATAGTGGTGCTGCCACTACCAACTTTTTCACCGAATCCAGTTTACACACCCTCCTTGTGTCGTACACTGCCCGTAAGGGTGTGTTTGTGTCGGATTTGGATTCAGCAGTTCTTGCTAAAAAAAATTATGAGGTGTTTTTACATTTTTGCTTGAGTTCATGTATTTTTTTTATAAAAAAAATACAAATTTTTGCTTAAATGCACGATGGGAACTGCACTGGATCTGGGTCCGTTTGTGTCTCTACATTTGATTCTTGCCATGCCTTTCAAGCCATCTTTTAATAAATTTTATACCTTGGTTAACATTTCGACTAGCCAAAAGGGTCACAAGTTCCTGATTTGGTTCAGTGCCTCCACTTAATACCCATTAGTGATTCATCAATTTTGATTGTTTTATTCATTACATGGGATATAATGCGTAAGGTTCACAGTTGCATTAATTCAAATCTAGTTAGTATTTATAAAATTGCATAGATAGGATATTTATTTATCAAATAAGTTTAGGAATGGATATTTGTAATTATTCATGAAATTTTGCAGGAGTAGACTGTAGATGCAAGTGAAGAAATGTATTATCCCACCTCATTTATATATATAATCATGATAGCACGATAATAGTGATAAAATTTAGTCATTTATATTATTTAGTAATTTTTTATAAAACACAAAATTAATTAATTAAATTATTAATTTGAACTTTTTTTATCAAACAAATAATATATATAAAATTCTATATAAAAATAAAAAAAAATAAAAATATAGTATCACATTATTTTACTTTAAAACATATAATATATTTTTAATATAAAAATATTAAATTTTAAATAATATACTTATAAAGGTTTAAATGTAAAATTTGATATATATTACTATAAAAACAATACATTAATATAAATCAATTTTGCATTCTATCCAGTATGACTGATTGATATTAAAATATATTTTTTATACTTAGAATTTTAAATAATGTTTACTATATATATATATATATATAATTTTTGTTCTCTTAAATTTTTGAAAAAAATGTTTAATAGATGTAATATTTTCAAAACAATATTTTTTCAATTTTTTTTTCATAAACTGAGAGTTTTCTGAAACATGTAATATAATATTCTTGTTATAATTTTCAAATTTATGAAAATAATATTTATTAAAATAATTTTGTAGTTTATATTGATAACTATGTAAATAGTTTTAATAATTAAAAGTTATATATTTATTCTTTTTTATTTAAAATTGATTTTTATATTTAAATCTAAATATAATTAGTTAAAATTATCTCAATAAAACTTAAATAAAATATATAATTTTAATAATATATATTTTTAAATTAAAATTTTAAAAAATAATTTGTTGTAAAATTTAGAGAAAAATAATATTTTTTAAAAACAAACAATAAGTTAGATAAAATATTTTTTAATAATATTAATTTATTAGATCATAACAATTAAAAAATTATAAATAATAATTTTTTAAATATAAAAACTAAAATAAAAATAGTTTAAAAAAACAAAAAAAATATTTATTAAAATACAATAAGAAAAATTATATTTAACTAAAAAAATAATTAATGGATAGCGAGAGAGAATGAACAGCCTCTTCAATAATCAAGGTATTAATAATATGTTGTATCACATTGTTTGTTAATATTTTTCAAATGGATCCATTAATATTATATACTGCAAATTGTTATAACTCTAAAGGAAATTAGCAATACATGTTAAAAGATTATTAATTTAATTAAAATATATAATTAATTTTTTCAAAGGTATTAGTCACTTTCAATAACGATATTTAATAAAATTAAACATTTCACTAATCATTAACACACTATTATTGAAAAAAATATTATTCCACTAAAGCTATATTATCTATGCAAACATACTATTACAATTCTCCTCCATTTTATTTTATCTCACATTTGATCTCACACATGTTTAGTAACGTCTCGTGCAAATTTTTAAATAAGCATAAATTGATATCAAACCATTCAAATATTATATATCATAGTTTCACAAAGACACATGTAAAAATAAAATAAAAATGCAATATGTAATCATCTTCAATATTACAAAACTCACAAATTTTTTAGGGAATTGTCAATCTATGTTTTGTCAAGTTCTTTCACACGAGACTACATTAAGCAATAAACATCAAACGGATATTACTATTTTTCTCGACCCACTAACCTTCAAAATATTACATAAAGCCTATACTAAACCCAGCTCAAAACTACTACATATAGTAAAGAAATAATAAATGTAGTGATAAATAAATTGTACACTATATTTTTTGTTATCATTACACTTCCGTATCAACATGTCATTGACATTTTCTTTTTGTCTCTTACCTATATATTACAAACTAAACTAAACTATGGGTAAATTGTTTAACCATATAGAAGTTTGATACAAGAACTAAAATACTTAGCAAAAATTAATAAAAAATGTATTTTATAAATTTAAAATATTTTTTTTATATTTTTTAAAAAGTATTTATTTAATTTCTTTAAAAGTGATGAGATAAATTATTTATAAAAAATGTTTGTTTTTTATATTATTTTTTTAGCAATAATTTTTTTAAACTATCTTAGTTCTTCTTAATTGAACTTTTAAAAAAATATTTTTTTTATTTGAATACTCATTTAGATGTTAAGTATTACTTCATATATTACCATGTTTTAATGATTTTCTGTAACATATTTTTTATTATTAATTAAAAATTATATAAATTACACCTTTTTTATATTTTTAGATTAACATTTTATAATTTTTAATAAAATTTAACTAACCATAAAAATGTATTAAAAAATATATTAAAAATTCTCTTATAATGGATTCTTATTTCAACAAATTCCTAGCTAGTGGAAGCTCCGAATAAGAGACACCCAGAGGTGAGAAGTTCACGAGTTTCATGTCCATGGTAGGTGAGTCACAACATTTTGGCATCATCTAGTGATCAAGTAAAATTCTCAAAAATTAATAATCTTAATTTTGAAACATAACATAATAATTACTAAATATCACGAGTATTAAATGGATTTTTTTTAATTTAAATACATTTTGAAACAAATAAATTAAAAAATGATAAGAAAAACAGGCAGATAACTTTTTAAATAATATGAATATCATATGTAAATATTAAAAACGATTATAAAAAAATAGGTATTATTATTAATTTTATAAAACTGGGTGTGAAAAGTAAAAATAAATTTAAAAAATGAAATAACAATGACTGTTTTAAACAACTGGCTAAAAAATAAAAGTGGAAATTACTCAATAAACAAATTTATTATATTAAAAATATAAAAATTTAATTTTAAAATATTTAATATGATATTTTAAATACATTAAATATTGAGATAATATATTTCATAATACTCAAATGCTAATTATAAGAAAAATATATGATCAGTACTTTATAAAATTGACTATCCAAATAAAAAAAAATAAGGTTTTAAAAATGATTATAGTAATTAGTATTTTTATGTCGTTGGTTAAAAAAAAATAGTCTAAAGTATTTAATAATAAATCTATTACATATCTTACGTTGTAAATATAAACTATTTTTTGTTTTTTAAAAAGTTAAAAATATTTAACACGATAAAGTAAATACATTAAAAATAAAAAAAAATAATAGTTTTACAAAATTTTATTCCTAATCCCATCATAATTACATTCTAAATTTCAATACCATTTAATTCATCCTTTTTATTCATTTTATAAATTTTAAAATTATATAATATTTCATTAAATTGTTTATTTTAATGTATAATATATTTTAAAATATAATTAAATGTGAATTATATAATTAAATTTTTTTTATTTTATTTTAAATTTTTCATACTTAATCATAAATATAAATGATTTAATTATTAAATTAATAAAATATAATATTTGTAAAAATTATTTAACCAAATAAGTAATTAATATTTTCTCTGGAGACAGTGAATTTCTTCTTGCTCTTTTTTTAATATTAATATTACTACATTAAATACTGTACTATTTTACTTTATAAAATAATATTAATACGTTAAATACATTACTATTTAATTTATAAAATAATATTAAAAAAAGCCAAAAAAGAGTAAGCTCACTTGGCCACGCGCTTCCCTCTTTCCCCACAGAAAGCACCATTCATCCCCACGCCAAAACCGCACTTCATTTCCTGTCGTTTTTGTCGTATCAACCCCACAAACTAGAAAAAATAAAAGTAAAAATAAAAATAAAAATAAAAAGGCTTTCTCTCTCTCTCTCTCTCTCTCTTTCTATTTAGTGTGTTGCTTGGCCTTGTTTATCAACCAAATCTAGAGCAACCCATTTCGTTGTTCTTCCATTTGAAGGAAAATTTTATACGTCCTCCATTCCGTTTTACCCCATAAAGTTCAATGCTTTTGTGGCTCCTCTCAATTCCCATTCCGTAATAATTTCATTCTTTTTCGCTATAAACCCCTTTAAACAGTGAGCTATTTCACACCCCTTTTCATCACTCACACTCCTCACCTCTTTCAAACAAGGTATCTATCTCTATGTAATGGGGGTTTCATCTTTCAATCCTCCAAATTTTTTCTTTCTTCTTCTTTTTTAATGGGTGTTTTTTTATCTTTTTTTATTTTTATTTTTTTATCTGTAGTCCTGTGTGTTCATTGATCTGTGTCTGTTTTTGGAATTTGGTATCTGCTGGGGATTGCTTATTCCACTGAATAGTCCTTTCAGGATCGCGTTTGCTTGATGGGTATTTATGCATTTGAAATTTTGATATATCTTCTCCTACCCTATTGTTTGTCTTATTGTGGCTTGAATCTCGCTTAATCTCTTATGCAGAGTTGTTATATACTTCTAAACGCTGCTCCTTTGTGAAGAAAAGTCATTTTTTCAACAGGCTTTCTAGGAAAGTTTTTGTTGTTATTTTAATGTTGGCTTTAGCACCATTTTAAATGCTTGTAAGGAATCAGCTAGTTGCTATTTCTGTTCTCTTTATGAGGCATTTAGCGGTTTTTTAAAATATTTGTTCTTACCTATAAACTTCGTTACTCCTGTTTGATAAAAATGTTCCCTTTGGGTTATGTGTGGTTTTCATCTATGTCTTCTTATGTGTTTTACTTTGACATGAAATTTATGAGCCAACCTCGAAGCATGTCGTTTTTGAGCATGTTTGCGGTGTTATTTATGAGCGTACCTGAATATAATGTTGTATATGGTCGGTTGGATTTATTGGAAATATCTTCTTTTTACCGATTCTTTTTTCATATTATGAATGTAAGCTATGTGCTTTTTTATTTTCCCATTTAATGTTGTTTATTTTTTTATCTGACTATGTGCTAGTTGCTTCTGTTGGTTGAAGCTAATGTGCTATTGAATTTATTTGTAATGTTAGTTTCAAAGTACCAAACAAATTTTGGGATCTTTCCTCCTTTGGGTTTTTGGCTTTGATTGTTAATTCCAAATCTTTTCACAATTTTACCTATTAGCATGGGGACTCCGATGGATTTTCTTCTTTAATGTGTTTACGCATTTGGTTGCCGTTTGGTCTTCTAAAGTACCTTAAAATACATTGGTTCCTTGTCAGGTTCAGAAATTTGTATAATTTTCTTCTTCAAATGAGGTGAGTTTTTCTCTAAGAGTCTTCTTGGTAAGATGTGATGGTTGTTCCCTTAGTGTATTTTATCCAATTTGTACTTTGATTAGTTATCATGTGCAAAAAAGTTATGGTTGTCGTTGTTGTGTATGTGTGTGCAACTGTGCATTTGATCTTGTTTATGTTATTCCTATGGCATTATTTGTTGCGTTTATTAAAATGTCTTATTCGTTTTGTCTTGAGGTGCTTCACTTGTATTGGTATGAATTTCCGTGATCTAGCATATGCTCAGGTGATAAATCTCTGATATTCTTTCTTATTTGTTAATATGTTTTAGTGATTAGCTAAATGCTTTTAAATATACTCACTAGGCCTTTCGACTTTGTCATGGCGGGAGACACGTCATGGATCAGTCACTACGAGGATGATGCTCGGAGGGAGACTAGGGAGTTTGATTCATTTTTGGAACTTGGTGAGGAAATTGACAAAGAAGGAACTGCTGTTTCTGTGGATGCAATTTTGCCTGATGAATTGTTGGAGCGTATCCTAGCCTATCTCCCCGTTGCAAGCATTTTCAGAGCAGGTTGTGTGTGTAAAAGATGGTATGAGATTGTTACTTCTGAAAGGTTTTTATGGAACCTTTCCCATTTGCTTCCACAGAAACCTTGGTACTTCATGTTTACTAGCTCTGATGAACCAACTGGTTATGCTTATGATCCCATCCTTCGGAAATGGTATAGCATTGAACTTCCGTGCATCGGAACTTCTAACTGGTTCATTGCTTCATCAAACGGTTTAGTTTGCTTCATGGACAATGACAGCAGAAGTGAATTATGCATGTGCAACCCTGTTACCAAAAGGTGCAGGAAGCTTGAAGAGCCACCGGGTTTGAAATTTTCTGATTACAGTGCATTAGCAATGTCTGTGAGCAGGGAATCCCACAGTTATACAGTGGCAATTGTGAAATCAAAACAAATCCCTGATAATTTTTTCCAGTGGGATATTGCAATTCATATATACAACTCAGAGAAAGAGACCTGGATGGCACCTTTAACAGAGGTTTTGGTGGGGTGGAGGGGTGGTGATGAGAGTGTAATATGCAATGGTATGCTTTACTTTTTGGTTTACTCAACTGGCGGTGGTCCACCAGAAAGTCGCCATGCACTAATTGCATATAATATCTCCAATCGTTCTTCTCAGGCTACCTTGAAAAGGAGCTTTATTTCTGTGCCTTGTTCACTAACATGTGGCCGTTTGATGAATATGAAGGAGAAGCTTGTAATGGTGGGAGGAATTGGTAAACACCACAGACCCGGCATAATAAAAGGAATTGGTATTTGGGTTCTTAATGATATGAAATGGGAAGAGATTGTGCGAATGCCCCACAAATACTTCCAAGGCTTTGGAGAGTTTGATGATGTTTTTGCTAGCAGTGGTACAGATGATCTAATCTACATTCAAAGTTATGGATCTCCAGCACTTCTCACATTTGACATGAAACTTAAACAATGGAAATGGTCACAGAAATGCCCTGTAACAAAGAGGTTCCCTCTGCAGCTTTTCACCGGGTTTTGCTTTGAGCCTAGGCTTGAAATTGCTCCATAGTTTGTTTTCCATACAATCGAAAGCTGCTATTGACAGTCAGTCCGAGTTTCTGCCATTTTACTACATTGTTCTTTAAGTTTAATTTAATATGGTTTCTATGTTTAACAGCACATACAAAGTGTACTGCTGATAAAGTTAGTTATTCATGGATACTGGAATATCATTATAGCATTTGATAATACAAAATAGCTACATATTTTTTACGTTTTCTTATTCTATCAATTTATGATGCTCCTAATTTACCATGAGATGGGTAATATATCTACTTATCTGCTGCTACTTGTCTTTGTTTTTCTGAACAATCGAGGTCGTGATACATCTTAATCATAGATGTTTTTCCGAAATTTGGTATAAAATTTTCTTAGTTTGTGAAGTTTTATTTATTTCTTTGAACCCCTTAATTTAGACATCATCTATTTGAAGGTTGTGAGGGAACAATTTGCTTGTGCTAAAAGGTGGCAGTGTCCTTTAGAATCATGTAACATTCAAGATGTCCTACACTGCTTGAAGTACTTGTATTAGATTCAGAATAATTAAGTCATATGCTATGAACTAATTGCTTGGAATGTGTTGCATTGTTAGGGAAAGGTTGTTCAGTGTTCAGCAGTCTTTTATCAGTTTCCACAACCGGTCAAGTCTTATCTTATGAGAAAGGGAAGAAAATTCATGTATGGATACATATCTTTGTTAATTGTACGGCTGCTCAATAATAATAACAACAATAATGTTGAATGGACTTCATGGAAGCTTTTTGTAGTTCCCTCACACATGTAATCAATCTCTATGATTTAGTGTTGAGCCAATGAGTATGTGTTATGCTCAGATCACACAATCCGTGTTGTGAATGAGTGTGGTGTGTGTATTTGTTCCGTACATTCCATTATTTTAATTATGCCAACTTGAAAGGTGAAACCTGCTCTGTGGTGGTTGGTGAAGAAGTGAGGTCCACGCCTGCTATAGCAATTGGCAAAGGTGGTGGGAATGTGACAAATAAAGGTTATATGAACTTCATTTTCAAACTGGTCATCACCTCTCTACAATATTAGAATATTCAAAATGCCTTCTCAAAGGGTCTGTTGATTGAGATGGGAGTTGGTTGCAGACTGTCAAATTAACTTGTCCCTGTGTAATCAATACACTTCACAGAAGAACAATATTTAGCAGTAGCGATTGTAAAATGAATTTATGATTTTTATAATTTGATAAATTTTTTTTCATATGTGAATACATTTTATAATTAAATTTATAATCTTCATCCGTATTATATTGTTCAGGATAATAAGTTATATATGCCAATTTTTATTAAACATTACATAATTCAATATAATTTAATACATTAATAATATTAAATACTACAATTTTTTATGGAAGTTTATCGTATATAGCTTATTATCCTATGCAGTATTTTACAGATTTGATTTTTTTAAAAAAAAATTTATAGTATAAATTCATATAATAAAAATTTATTAAACAAACACTTCATCAAATTATTATCCAACATATAAATATATTGAAAAAAAATTGTTACTTTTGAATCAACTCTATGTATCGGTCCAAGATAGTTTGTAAAATTAATGTTGATGCTTAGAGAACAAATGATTTAACTTATATATATAATCGATAAGCTGACGAAAATATTTATTTGAAAGTTGAAAAGTTATATTTTACTAGAAGTTAAAAGATATTACGTTAACTTAATTAATTATAAGTGCTAAGAAAAATTAGTTGGTAAATATAAAATAATTTAAAAACTTATAGTTATATGTTTTTTTCCTATATAAAATCTATTTTTATTTTTAAAATGAAATATATCTCTAAGTAATTATAACATTAGGTTTTATAGTTAATGTTATATTCTTATAATTTTATGTTCAAGGATAAATTGTTTTATTAAAAAATATATAATAATTAAAAGAAATTGTAATATTAAAAGAGATAGTAAATGAGAAGTTTTATTAAAACAATGAGGATAATAATAAAATAAAAAAAATAAGAACTTATAACTTATAAGCTCAGATATTATTTAAAATAATGCACAAATGCTGTAAGAAATAAGTTCATTTATCCTTTTATTGTTATCCTCAAAAAACCTTGTAAAAGAATAAATTGAGCTAGAAGCTGGTTAAAATAACTCTGCAACACAATTTAAATAAATTTTCTTAGAGTGATTAAGTAATGGAAACGCTTTTTAATATCTATTCTAAAATATAAACCATGAACACAAATGATGGGACAAAAATCAAATTTGGGCATCAAATATTGCATTACTTTTTTTTTTTATGCTTTTGTAATTTATTTTTTATTATATAATGTCTACTATATAAAAAGAATGTTTTCTCTCTCCAAGAGTAAGGAGAAATTATGCTTGAGGCTTTCAAAATAGTGACAGAGTACCTAATTACCAAATGCCCTAGTATAAATTATGTGAAAAATATACAACTTCCTTATTTAATATAAGATCTTAGAATTCATTTGATACATTAATCGATTTAGAAGAATGCAGATCCCTGCCAAAGGGTAGTAGGTCCATTTTCTTCTTTCACTCCTCACACTAGAGAGAGAGAGAGAGAGAGAGAGAGAGAGAGAAGGGTCCATTTTCCATGATTTAAATCATAGGTTGTGAAGTGGTGTTTATAACTAATGACATGCAGCCTTAATCATTTCTCTTTGAATTGGCCGAACTTCATTGGCATGCAATTTTTTTAGCACCTTAGCTTTCCCATGATGTAATGCCAAACAGATGTGAACAGAGGACTTCCATATTAAATTAGTGCGTATGGTTTTTTTATTTATTTTTATTTGTATCTTTATTCTAATAAAATCCAACCAAGCAATCCATGTTATGACAATGTTTCATCATTTTTGTTCAAAAGGAGTGGCTGTAACTTACACCCTCTTACCAATCCTGACCTAACACTTCAGCAGGGTTTTGGGTTATACCTACAAAGTTAAAATATAATTTGAATAAAATGACTTTTTGGTCATAAAATATAAATAATAATAATTATTATAACAATTAATAATTGAATGACAGTGTGATTTTTTTTATCAGTTTATTTAAATAAAATTAAAATTTAACAAACAAAATTTATTATATATGCACATGCATTTAATCACAATCTTTCCATATGTCTTGCTTGTTATCTAAAATTAAGATTACAGTGAAATCTGTTTTGGTTTTTCTTTGTGCAGTTGTTATGCTTTCCCATTTAGAGTTGAAATCTAATATAAATTGGCACCATGGATAAGGGAATACTCTTTTTGGAAAGAAGGGTGAAATGATGATAAAAGGGACCATAGGCCTAAATGAAAGAGGGTATACTTATGGTGTTTGTTTTGGGCCTAAAAGTGGATGTGATCAGTGTCTGGTCTCAAGTCTCAATGACCAACAAACACTTATCCAGCAGCTTTAGGGAACAGCTCTTGTTGCTCTTTATATTCAGTTTCTTTTCTGTCCTTTGGATATTTCCTTTTCAATTTTGTGAATGTTTTATCCTTAGAAACACAAAATACTATTCTTGGCTTTTCGGAAGGAGTAAATCTTATGTTAATCGTTCCAATTATACGAGTTAAGCATTTTAAACCCTGTTTATATATTCTTTTCCTAACGAAGTTTTGGCTTAAATAAAAAATTTGTAATATCAATTCCGCATTCAAACATACACTTAAAACATTTGTTTTATTTTTTAAAAAGAGTTTTCTGTTTTTAAAAATCAAAAATAATTTTTTATTTTTAAAAAGATAGATTTTTTTTAAATGAACAAATTTTTAAACTTTTATTTTACAAGAAAATATCTTGTTACTATTTTTTATTTTCTATTTTACTGTATTTTTTATTTACAAAATTAAAGTGAATATCATTTTATAAAATTAGAAAGTAATAGAGAATTTTAGAAATTTAAAAACTAAAATATCTTACTCATACACTTTTGAGAACTGATTTTAAAAATTTATTTTTTTTAGGAGTATAGGCTGTATTATATCTTAGACTGAAAATCGTCAGTAGTTGATATTGTACTATGGGCCATATTATAAAAGTGAGTTTTTATGGTCGATTATTCTTGTTTAAATTTATAATTATATTCGATCAAGCAAGTCCTTGTATGTTTTTAAAGAAGTTACGTTGACTTAATTAAAATTTTTATCTTTATATATAATTTTAGACTTTTCAAGTTTAAGTGTTTGTATTTAATCTTTTTATTTTTAAAAAAATTTCAAATTAATTTCTTTACCTCAAAATCTTATTATAATAAAAGCCTATCATATTATTAATTTGTATAAATTAGTAAATAAAATATTATATGAAAATAGTAAATTAAATGTATGATAAAAATAAATTCCTTTTTATTTTAGTTAATTGTTTTATACACTTTTTCTTTATAAATTTGTATAAATCAATTATATATATTATTTTTAATTATTTAAATAAATTTTTAGAGTAATAAAATTCAATGCATGATAAGTGTAAGGTGTTTTGATACAATGATATATTGAGATATTATCGAAAAGGTTAAGCTTTTTGTATAAAAAATTCCATATTATTTTTTAATAGTTTAATTTCTATTTCGGTCCAAGTTTAATCAATGTCAATAATAAAAGCTCAATAAAAGCCCTTGAAAGCTGTGCTATTCATAGTGCTTGGCCCTGGTAACTATTGGTCTTTCTCCTCTCATTCCACTCTGCTTTAACGGCCCAAAAATGAAAAAAAAACACTCTACTTTTATCTTCTGTTCTTCATGTTTATGGAGATTATGGGCTTAAAGAAAATTATGCTTGGTTCGGTGTGATGAATATAATGATATATCTTTGATTCTTTATAAATATCTAAAATTATAATATATTTTATTCTCCATCTACATCAAATATCTCTATTGGACACAAGGTTTATTTTATAAGTAAGAAAATTACAATTCCAATTCAATTTAATAGAATTATTATTTTATATTATATTTTTAAGAAAGTTAACCATTGTGTAAAAAATTTAGCTAATTAGGCCTTTCAAGTTTCTAAGAATTAACTTCTATTAAATTCTCTTACTCCCCAACTTATGTGTGATGATATGAGAATTTGGTTTTCTATAATAATTCGTTAGTTTTGCTTTTTTTTTTTTTTCTTTGGACTTGCTTTTAGCTCGTTGATATTAAAAAAAAAAAACATATTTTGGTCCATTAGTTTTTCGGTCTTCTTTTATAAATTTTGAAACCAAAG